TGATTAGAATAGCTTTGAGCATCAACAGTTGTTTCTCAGTCATGATGAGTTTCAGTAGCCGTGAAGAGCAGCGTTCACTTCTCAAATCAGTGGTACGATAAGGAAACTTAGAATATATGTCTGTAACGATATAATTTTGGCATTCATCTAGGTGAATAGAGTGTTAACCATCTCTACCCTACAGTCGGATAAAAAGGGTTCGAGCAGAAGGTTCGTCATTTTCTTGGTTTTTCGGCAGACAACGTATGAAAAACGTGTTATGGTTTAGTAAAATATTTTCGAGTTTAGACTGTGATTCACTTTTGTTTTTCCATGAAACGTTTCTGTTCCGGTTTTGGTTTCGAATTAGTTATAAATAGTTTTCCCATGTTTTTATTAAACAAACATGTAACAAATTTACTCCGCGAGTAGATCCATCTTCTATATGCATAATTCACGACTGATAAAAAACCATAGATTGGAATAGGATTTTAGAACACTTTTTGGATGTGCATTTGTTTATTCGTGAGTTACGACTTGCACTGTCATGCAATAAAATGCATTTAATTTTGATGTACAGAAAGTACGTAAGTTATCTTTAGAGATTCATGTATTATTAAGCTTCACGTACAATATTCAAATGGTATCTGATTTCTGTAAATCGTTTGCTCGAATTATCGTTTCATTTGAATATTAAATCCAAAAATTCCCACTATTTCACAATTTACGTAAAATAAACTTAGTATATGCTTGATATTCTCATCAGATAGTGTGAGACACGTTTCTTCAATTAGAATGCTCTTCATAATTTATTAAAACTAGAATTTTCATGTAAACTATAATAAATAAAAATTCAGAAAACCCAATCTGGTTTTTCTTGGATTCTCTCTCTTTATTTCTCTCTCTCTCTCTCTCTCTCTCTCTCTCTCTCTCTCTCTCTCTTTCCGTCTGTCTCTGATTCTCACCCGTTAATTTTAAAATCCGGCAGAAATATTTTGGACGACACTGGATAAACAATATCTATAAACTAAATTTGTGAGTAATGATTAATACATAATAGCAAATATATATTTCCGTGATCCATTCACCAGCTACAAAGTCATAAAGATATTTTGTGGTAACACACAGGTACTCGTAAATGTGAATAAAGTGGTAATGTATAGTAGAATTTGCTTGCAGTTACATTGGATTCTTGTTACTAATATTTTGGAATCTCCCTCTTATCCTTCCCTGTCTCATACACACACGTACATCCACGTCAGATCTTGGCAGGCACCTAGCGGAAAACGCGGGGTGCTTGCCAACTCCCCAGCAAACGTGCAACGTCTTAATACCGGCTGCGTTATCTCATAGCCTGTATTGCCGCCGTCCCTGCACCGTCCGGGAAGTCCCAGTGTTTGAGTTTCAACAGTGGTGGATTTACCACACCACACATGGGATGCTACACACATGGGGTGCACGTACACATGAGGTGCAAAGTGGATATTTTCTCTAGAGGTCTATGTTCAAAAATGAAAGAAAAGACAAAAAAGCAAGCAACAACAATAAAAAACAAGTGAACAATTGTAGGTCATTTAAAAAAAGTAATTAATTTGATTTATTTGGCCAAAGAACAAAAAAACTGTATGTGACGTATAAGGGAGAAGTACACATTGCTCGTTTTCTTGAGCTCCAGAATCTCATTCCCACCTTTTAACTATACCAATAAAGCGAAGTTAGTTACATTTGAAAATAGAGTTTTCTTGAGTCATCGAAAACTTATTTGTATGCGTAAAGAAATTGTAGATTTGAGTTGTTAGTATTTCTAAGAAAATAGTAACCCATACTCCAGGCTCTACTTCTACAAGCAAAACTTGTGCAAAGTGAAGCTACGTTTTAATCTAGACTCAAAGGAACGGGCCATTGCTTAATAGATGAGGAAAACTGGTCGATTTTTTTACCATTTGTGGTTTTGAGTAATAATATAAACAAATGTGTCTTATTACTGTTTCTACATGTTCGCTCTGATTGCTGTCATGAAAGTACTCCTGATGCCAATGTAACTGTGTCCCAAAACATTTCATTTTTACCATCTCAAGTTATGTTTTCCAGTTTCCTTGATTGAAACATGTCAAAGAGTGGAAATCGTAAATGAGACAAATATAAATGGATCACAGTAATTATGTTTTTTTGGTGGAGGCAAATTAATACTTTTCCAGAAAGTGACATCAAAATGAGAGTCTCCAGTCAATTGGCACCCCACATTGTCTGTCACTCCCTCCCTCTCTCTCTGCCTCCCTCTCTCCATCCCTCTCTCTTTCTATCTCTCTCTCTCTCACATACCCACGCTCACACACCCATCCACACACACACACACACACACACACATACGTACGTACACACATTAATTCTCGGCTATCCGGGAGACGCTGCGTCGTTGGCTGGGGTGCCGACGTTTCGCCTGACATGTCGCAGGCTTCCTCAGGGCAGTGACTAAGGGCGTCTCCCGGATAGGCGAGAATTGATGGATTCGAGCCGCGGAAGCTTACGTATACGTACACGCATTCCTGGGCGATTCCATCTCTGACAGAATTTTTACCCTAACTTTCCGAGAGCCTTGCCAATTCCGCTTGTACAGCTTCCTTCCTTTTTCTTAAACTCCTCCTGCATTTTCCCGTTCTCCTGCCTCTCTTCCGCTCCTTCTGCCTTTCGTCCTTCTCCTCCTATTTATTTTCCCTCTTCACCTCCTCCATTTCCTTTTCCTCCTCTTTCCTTACTCCTTTCTTCTCGTCCTCCCCTTTATCCTCTTCCTGCCTTCACATCCTCCACCTTTTTATTCTTCTCCTCCCCCTTCTCTTCGATCTCTCGCTTCTTCCCTTCCTCCTCCATCTCCTTCTTTTTCCCCTCTAGCTTCTCCATCTACGTCCTTCTCCACTCCCTCTCTTTTCTCTTCTTCCTCCTTTATTTCTTATACCTTATCATTATTCTCTTCCTTCTCCTCTCCATCTCCTCCGTCTCCCTCTTTCCCTTTTCCTCCTCCTCCTCTTGCTTCTCCTCGTCCTCTTCTGTCTCGTCTTCCTCCACACACCCCACCTTTCCCTTCTTCTCTTCTTCCTTCTCCTGTTCCTCCTCCTCCTCTTCCTAGTCCACGCCCGCTCTCGTGTCGCGCCTGCGGTCGTTGCGAAAGCGCCGTGTGTCTCACTGGCCGGCACGCCGCCGCCGCCGCCGCCGTCACCCAAGGCCACCTGTAGAACGTTTCCTTCTGCCCGTAGGAGCGGACACGCACGCACGCACGCAGGCCGGAGACAGACCTCCCGGCGTCGGCGGGCGCAGTCCACGCAGGGGTTGTTTGCGCCTCCACGACGCCAACGCTGCCAGCGGCAAACAGCCTCCGCCGCTCACGCCACCGCCTCAGAAGCTCCACTTGGCGGAAGTTCTTACTCGTGTTTGTGGTTCGAGGGAGAACACCGCCCATGCGACCAACAATTCTTGTGAACAGCTGGAGATAAACATCGGAAAGCGTGTGCCGGGTTTTTAAGCGTGTGTTGGATGTGGTGTTAATTTGGATCTTTTGCTTCCTTTTGTTTTGTGAACGTAGGTTCTAAGTTGGAGGTGAAAAGAAGTGGGATGTAGTGTTCCGTGTTTATTGGAAGCTGTGTGTTCCGAGAGTAATATTCCACGACCTGGATGGATTGAAATGCATATGAATTTTCTGTGTATGAGTTTGAAGGTTTATTGTTCAGTAGAAATGTTCAATTTTTTATCGTGTATTTGTGGTTGTCGATATAAAATTTTCATATAAATTCAGGAGCTAGTTTCACTAAAAATAAACTACTAACGCCACCAATGTGTAGTAATAAAAAAGGCTTACAGTTTTATGTTCATTAGGTAACGAGGCTATAAAGTGTAAATAATTGATCATTGTTTTTTTACGCAAAACTAAAGTAATTGCCTGATAACTGATTTTCAATATATTTTCAAGAAGAAATAACATCGTTGCGTGTGCAACGAACTCAGTTAAGGTATTTTGTTATAATTAACCAACTAATGGTCCCTATACCAGAATACAACTTGTGCATGTATCATCAACGACCGTGCACATTAAGTTAAAAAAAACAGGCAGGACAATAGTGCATGAAAAACAACTTACGCAGTGGAGTGGATAATTACTGACGTCAGTGATCGCCTCTTGAAGAACAGAACTTTTTTTTTGTGGAGCAACCGATAGCAACAACCTTGAATCCTACGGTTCGAATTACGATTGTAAGGTCACGTAGAACATAATAGAGTGTGTCGTAAGCAAACGTCAAGTGGCCTTGGTTCGTACCTGGAATTCTGCCTTTCTATGCACGAGAGTGCCTATCGAGACAGTATCCCAACAAAGCACTTTTTACTTATCAACGGCATTTAATCTGTGAATGGGACCCGCAGGTAGCCTTGCCATAATACAAAGCGTACAAAACAAAAGAGAAAACGGGAAGTTGCTTTTCGTGTGGATAGTTCCTTAGCCGGAAGTAATAGGTTAAAGATACTGATAAACAAGTGGATTTCGTAAAACAGAAATATTCGTTTAAATTATTAAAAACAAAATAAAATTGTCATGTGATTGTTAACTTTACAGAAATTTAACTATAGCTGTTTCTCTCATTATATGATAATTTACTAAAGACAAAGAACTATTAATTAAATGTGGTGAAATAAAATTATCCTCAAAACTATATGATCAGAAATCAGAAAAGAAATACATTTTGTACCATAACAAAATACTGTAATTAATTTTGAGAGGAAACATTCGTGACAGGAAATTTACTAGTTCATTGGCAATTATTCAAAATTACTGAAAATTTGGCAAAATCTATGAAGTTTTAGAACAAGGTCGCACCTAGCATTTATTAGTAATCTTGTGAATACACCAATTACGTATATACAACGCCATTCATAACAAAATAACTAAATAATTCAATAACCAAGAACAAGGGCCGCAAATAATAAGAAAAATACGCAGTAAAGCACCCCCAATGACCGCAAACAAGTGAAAGAGCATGCAAGCCGAAGTGCCGACGGGCAAACGCCACTGGTCGCATCAATCACCGGACGCTGCCGCCATCGCGTCGCTCGGCGACAGCAGCCCCGTCGCCATGAAGGACACTGCGCTAGATGCGGCGGAGACTGCAACGCACGTCCCCGACACAAGCGACGAACCGGACAGGGCTGGATGCCGCGCGTCGCAGGCGGTTTCCGGGTCGCCGCAGCCGTCGCCGGTCGCCGCGCGTGCCGACGCCGGGGACGCGACCGGAGGTCGCCGCGACGTCGCCCGGCCCGGTTACGAGACGCCGCCCCCGTCCCCAGAGGAGGGCGGGAGGACGCCGGTCGCGGCCCCTGCCGCCGCGCCTTTGGAAGGGGCTCCGTACGACGATGGTAAGTGCTCGCCGCAATTTTTCTCTTTATTGATGTTTCCGGGCACGACAACTGTTATGAACGTTTCCGGGCACGACAACTGTTCCTTCCTTTGGAAGGGGCTCCGTACGACGATGGTAAGTGCTCGCCGCATTTTTTCTCTTTATTGATGTTTCCGGGCACGACAACTGTTATGAACATTAGTTCCTTCCATTGGAAGGGGCTGCCTACGAGGACGGTAAAAGTGTTCGTCGCATTTTTTCTCTTGATTTATCAATATTTCCGGGCACAACTACCGGTATAAACTCCGGCCGCGGAAGCCTACGCAACCATACTGGTATGGACATTAGTTCCGGTTGTGTAGTGAATGTTTCATCTGGTGGCGGTGATTTCGTTGCCGCTGGATGGTGAGATCCACGCTGACCTACACGTCAGATTGCGGAGGAGGGGAGACAAACTCTTGAATCACTCCATCTTGTGTGCGGTGATGGAGTAAAGGTTACTGTATTGGAGTGTTATACCCAAGTTGCCGGGTTCAAACCCGACCGAATTTGTGAATATTTAGGGGCCAAATGATCCTTCGTACGCCTTCCATCAGAGGGGAAGTAATGCCGGCTGTCCCATGTTAGTAGATTTACTTGCATGTAAAAGATCGTTAAGCCTAAATGACGCCTCTGAGCTAAATTCAAAGCGCCTGTTTCGGCGCACAAGAAATATCCTCTTTCTTCGACAGTGGGTGAAAGGAGCGTAGTGAAATTAGCGTGGTCAGACGGAAGAGAAGGCCTGATGGTACGAGTCTCGCCACGTAAAATAAGGCATCGATTCAGTTCAATGGCACTACGGTAGTGTACTGCATGTTAGTGTACGGGAGAGGATAAGGAAGGGGAATGAAAGATCACTCGCGGTTTGTGGCATATTTGTTCAGAACCTGTTCCGGCCTTCGCCTAGTATTCGTTGGAGAAACCACGGAAAACTACCGGTCACAGCAACCGGCAGCTTGACTTTTCCTGCAGAGAGCGGATGAATTCGAACAAGCTTTTACAGTAAACGTCAAAAAACAGTCGGGCCCCGAACCCCAGAACTTCCCGGCCAGAGCCTGTACAGAGACATCGGCAAGGCCAGCTTTCAGCTAAACTATGTCTCTTATATTAGAATAATTCGAGACGCAGCTCCCGTCCCCTAAAGGCGCGAAACGCCGTTCTCTATCCCTGTCACCACAAGTTTGGAAGGGGCTCCGTACGATGATGGTAAATACTCGCCGCAGTTTTTCTCTGAGATAAATTGATGCGCTTGTCGAAGTTTTCTGGCACGACAACTAGTATTGTCATCAGTTCCGTTTGTGCAATGAATGTTTTAATTCGGGGAGTGGCTGTGGGTACGTCTCCGCTACGTCGGTAATATCTGGGCTGACTTACACGTCAGTTTGTGATGGGAGTGGCAAGATCTTGTCTTCCACCTTCTCTCCTATCAAGTGTAGTAGTGTAGGGGATGAAATTCTAAACCTAAGTGTGTGTGTGTGTGTGTGTGTGTAGTAGATCACACCTGACGTAGTCAAAAAAATTTCATGTAATTAATTGATTAAAGTTTCCGGGTGGGTCTAGCGTGAAGGTCATTAGTCCCTTAAGTATACTGTATGCTTTTATCCCTTGAAGTGACGGTGAGATTCCCCCGCTAAATGGCGAGTTCCGACCCCGCCATCGGCTTGCGGGCTTTTCCCCGACCAGGTACATCTCCCACCAGCGGGGCACAGTTCCAGTCTGGACTATAAGACTTATCTTCATACTTCCGACTCCTGATCTCCCGACAGATCTTCCGACATGTGTGGTATTGTAGCATATGTAAGTGTTAGTGTGTGTAAGTAATGTGTTACGACAGCACAAGGAAGGGGAAGGAAATATCGCGCGCGGTCCGTGGCCCGTTTGTTAGGGTGCTGCTCCGGCATTCGCCTGGTGTTGATCTTAACCATCACAGCCGGGAAGAGCTCTAAGCTCCCCACCGGTCTCACGCCATGTGTGGAGTGTGGTGCATGCTAGTGTAAGGGGCGAGGATATACAAGGAAGAAGTAGAAAAGATCGCGCGCGGTCCGTGGCCCGTTTGTCAGGGTACTGCTCCGGCATTCGTCTGATGTTTATCCGAGAAACCACGGAAAACTACCTACCCCTACACCTCAAGCACCGCCGCTAGAATCTCCCCCAGGCAGTAGCTGAACTCGACCTAGCTCCCTAGGGAGGGTTGAAAATCCTACAACAGTTGGAACTCGAACCTTAGAACCTCCCGATCACAGTCATTACGTGAGTTGATACCCGGAGCCATCCCAGCCGGAGAGGTTCACGGAACTTCAACCTCCCCTCTCAGATGCCAGTTACATCGCTTTACTGGTTTTCTGTACTATCGAAAATCTTTCAACATAAACGCTATTAATTTTACCTATAAATATGACAATAGTTTTTTATATTCATTTTAAATGAAAAATTCTTAATAATGAATAATAAAATCATCTGGACTTTATTCTTTTACCTCCCCCCAAAACACACGTACACACACACACACACACACACACGAAGATATTGGGTGCGTCGCTGCATGATCCGAATGTTTTATCAGCATGTACATATTCTAATGAAAAATAGTTTTTATTGAGTTTTGACTCTTCATCCCACAGAAGGCGACAGAATGATGTTATAGTAGTTAATACTATGCCATTCATTAGTTAAAAATATCTTGCAATATATTTGTTAAATTAAGCATTTATGACCTAAAAATCTGGAATATGTACTTTAATATGTCATTAAAATTACCAATATTGCATTTTCTTTATAAACCTATTGCGACAAAATTTCAGTTGAAGCGTGCATGGAATAAAAAATATTTTTGTGCAAACATAATTAATAATTTACTTTACTTTTCGGAGGAAAAAAATTAAGTAAAATTTCACCTTGAAAACAAATTGCATGTCTTGTTGCATTCCGTGTGTCTGTTTTAATAAATATGGTATCAAGAAAATTCCTACATTTGTACAAATATATTATTTTATAAATATTCAAGAAAAGCCGCAACAGTATAACGTAATTGTATTTTCAATCTACCATATCACTTTTTTTACACCCACAAATTAATAGATTCTGTGAAAAGATGAAACGTTTTAGTCTAAAGCATAAGTCTCCATTTTAAAGAAATATGCACCATATAATTACATGACTATTCACCAAAAGAAAAAAGGCTAAATATGCACCAACATATTAACCTACGTAGCATCTAATGCTAACCTAATGACAAGATATACCTAGGCGGAAGAGCAGTGGTTAGGTGCAAGAGTAGGTCTAATGGCCCAAGCCACGCCATTAATAATGACAATTTTATAATTATAATAATAATTATTATTGGCGTATAGGCCATTACTGACCACGCTACACGATTAACGTGTGTAATTCATCCAGGATCAGCTTTTCTGCTGTATCCATGGATTACAACAAGGTCGTTACGCCTTGAAGTGTGAATTGTGAGATAATAGGTTGATGATAGGTGAAGGGAAATCACAAATACGACCATGTCTACGCAGGACTCGAACCTGCAGCCTCCTCGGCACAAACGAGGGCTGCCGCAACCGTCTGCGCCACGGGGCAGACTATTATTATTATCATTATCATTATTATTATTATTATTATTATTATTATTATTATTATTATTATTATTATTATTATTATTATAAGATATTGCACTCAGCTATGCCGCACTGCAACAAACGTAAATATGCAATATCAGAGAAATTGTCTCCCTAGTAATAATAATTTTTAGAATACTAGCTTTAATAGTTTATTAGAACACGAGTTCTGATAATCTGTTCTTATAACTCATGACACAAAATTGTTTTCAGTTTTATAAAATTTCTATTTAGAAAACGAAAGTTGATATATATATATATATATATATATATATATATATATATATATATATATATATATATATATTTGTATCCATTTTATTTTATATTTTAGTGGAAGGCTCATTTCTCGTGACACTGTAGTTCAAATCTAAGCTCACTTTGGTGACTGACGAGCAAAATATGATCGTAACTCCTTTAACGATGTCATTAGAGTAATTCTAGACGTGATCTAAGTTTAGATCGTTATTGAAGTAATTTTTATGTTGAGTTTGCACGTGTTTAGAATAATAAAACTCTTAATTTATTTTATGTTGATGTAAATTCATGTTTGATTGTTTTAAAGTAGAAAGAGTTGTCAATGCATTGCTTGTCAGGAGTAGATGATAAGCTCTTGAAAATGAGAAAAAAAACATAACCTCGGGACTTCGAGAAAAATCGTTGAAGTATGTATGTTTTATTATTTCATTGTTTTTACTAATTAACGTAATCATAAATGTTTATTGAATGTCTTAAATATTGTTTGGACTAAACGCATCAAGCAAAGAAACCATTCACAGTCTGATTAATAATTTAATACTTCCATTTTAAACTGTAGAGCAATTTAATTCCTGTTCATCTAAAAAATAATTACCCTATCTGTGGATGTCCATATTATTTCAGCTTCTACTCCGTAATATGATTACTGCCACATCTTACCAGGACAACACCAATCTGTCATTTATGGAAAAAGAAAGTCGCGAAATGATCAGTGTGTATCTGAAAACTTGACAGACCCAAAGCGATATGACGAGTGTAGATTAAAAAAACATCGGTTTGCCTCATTTCGGATGTGTCGAGAATACACAAAACATGACATACAGGCAGAAATCATGCATGATGTAAATGTCGATGTGTGATGACCCCTACAGAGTGAAGCGTAGTCATATCTTTTTATCGTACTTGTGGTCCAAAAGATAATTCAAAAGTAATATATGTTTTAATAAAAGATCAGCAACTAATTTGACTGAAATCACAAAACAGTGAAAATTATCAGGGAACGAAAATTATCCTTTAACGCCACCCAATGTAAATATACTGTAACGTGAATTTTTCTATTCGTGACTTTTGGTTAAAGTTTTTTTTTTGTTTTTCTTTATATTCAGTCAATTCTTGTATTAGTTACATGGGTACCCGTCGTTTAGTTTTCAGTGCAGTAGTCTGTACTTTTACTTCCCACTGGTTTGTTTTCCAATGCGACTCGTTACCAAAGGGACGAATTCTTACAAGCAACCTAAAAGAACTTTGAAACTTTCCCTTACTACGTCATTTTACTATATCTTCCTAAAAGACAATGTTCTGGTCCAAGCAGTAATTAGATGGCCAACGCTGTATTTCTTTCCTTGAAGTCAGTTTATCTGTTCTTAAAGTAATTAATCTATGATTTTTTGTCTTGTTTTTAGGAACTTTTTCCAATTTTTAACTAGTTAAAAAACCCTTTTCCCCTGTTCTGAGATCTTAATGTATGTAAGTGAATCAGTAACGTTGGTTGCGTGCCGGGCCGGGGGACTAAAGGGAATTCAGTCCCGCCCCTTTCCCCGAGAAGCCCATTGTTTCGTTGTATTAAAAATGATAACGTTTTTCTTTTTATACTTATAAAAATAATTCTGTATCAATTGTTATTACCTGTAAGTCAACACATAAAAATACTTGGTTACTTTTGCCCGACTCCTGGAAAAATCTTAGGTGCAGTGAATCATAATCGCCTCTGAAGCGAATTATACGAAGTTTAAATCATTCTTTAACAAACACTAGTGATAAAAATAAAAAAGGAATGAACAGTATTTAATTTTGTATATTATATGTAATATCATCACTTTCACAGTATCAAATGGTATCATATGTTGCAGATCGTGTATATAAATCTTGTTTTCAGAATGACTTCCGCATTCGCACTTATTTATTCGTATTATGCTTTTAGAGTTTCATTTTTGTACATTACACAAAGTAATTAACACAAACACTAGTAATTGCGAATGCGCTCATAACTTCAAAGAAAACTGGTCAGCCACCGACTATGTGAGAGGTGTTCATGGTTCTGTTAGATTTCCAGGAACTAAAGAAAACTTTGAAAACAATGAAACTGTTTCGATTTTGACCGTAGAATGCAAATATTTTATTATTTTTATTCCCTCAATTAGCACAGAGCGGAACGGACTGAATTATTATTCTCCTCGCACTGCTTACGACATAGTTGTCACGCGTCCCCAAGGTTACAAGCAAGAGCCGCCCACCATTACATATTTACATGTAATGCATTACGAAACAGCAACTTTTTTGAGATTCACATGTATAAATTACGAGCATAGAATAAAACTATATAATTTCAATACTAATATATTGCAGTATTCGTGCAGAATGTTTTTGTTAAAACATTTATTTTATTGCTAGGTTATAAGAGATAATTTTATTTGTTGTTCTCGAGTAGGGTGCGTGCGTTGGAAAAACATTTCGAGGGGCTTTGTTTAATACCAAATTTGCTGGCCAATATTATTCGTAATGTTTGCACGTGGCCGAAATAAATTATTACAAAATTATTTCTAATAAATTATTACGAAATAATTAATTAGATTGCTGGTGAGGTAGATTCCTTCTATTATTATGATAAAAAAGATTTATTTATCATAAATTATTACTTCTTAGGCTTATATATTATTAATTCTTAGGCTTCTCAGCACCGTAAACTTTATACTTTCGAAAGTAAAGCTCTTTTACCGACTTTTTCTCAGAATCAAGATAAAAAACTATAACAATTACTAATTTTTATTTATTTATATTTTTTTCAACTATTTATAATTTGAAACCTTTACGTATTTACCACCAGTATGGATATACTCTAATATGTTGAAGTTAAAATGGTTATGTTGGTTTAAAAAATCAGGTGAAAATCGTTACAGATTTTAATACGTTGTCTCGTGTTTATTTCCCAGAAATACCGCCGCCCCTGCCGATCTCGGACGCGCCTACCGACGTCGTCGTAGTGAGCGAGAACCAACACCTGCTACAGGCAACGACAGCCCAAAATTCCCACCAGCCCGCAAATCTCGACGACGACGAGCAGCCGGGTGACGCGCCCGCCCCGACCTCTGCAAGCACGAGCCAACGACAGTCACCATCTCCAGCGGGATGCGACAACGAGGCGTTCACACACGACGGCCACGAGTTGGGCACTCCAGAGCCACACGCGCAGAGCAACGGCGTCGCCAGACCTGTGGTATGTGTGTTTTATCGGTCACATGCCGCTTTAATCCTTGTTAACATGCAACCCTATAACTTTGTTAAGTGCACTTGCTCCTACCTGTAGGTTAAGAAGTTTAAAACCTAAGCAACGGGTTTTAACATCCTTTATAACCTGAAAAAACAACCACCCATTCATCGCAAATTAACATTATTATTACATGGTAATTTAAAATATAAATACAAATTAAAGAAACGCAATATTTTTGGGGATGATCATTTTTAATTATAATGTTATTATTTGTGCCGTTTGAAAAATAAATATTAGGTAAATTATCATTATTTTCGTTGATTACTTTTTCCGTAATATTTACTGACGATGTACTGGAAGCAATGCATCTTCTGTAATTACGGTTACGTGATTTTGTAATTGCCAAGTATGTATTCTTCGTATTGCTAGAAGCTTGCTGCGTATTGCATTCTTCGTATGCTTTCTCGAACCGTGATTTAGATTTTTCAGGGATTAATTCTGAGTAAATCTCGCGAGCATTCTCCCACTGAATCACCGATGCTCTGCTGTCTGAGCGGCGGCATTCACATACATTTTCAGTAGCTTTCTGCGAAGCAACGACGCAAAAAAGGATTTTTTGCCCAACAGCTAAGCTGAGAGACAATTTGTCTTTAGAAACGGATGCATCGGCCGGGAATCGAACCCGAGCCGCCCGCGTGGCAGGCGAGCATTCTACGACTGAACCACCGATGTGCTCCGAGTGCTTCATTCACATGCCTTTTCAGTAGCTTTCTGCGAAGCAACGAAGCAAAAAAGGATTTTTTGTCCGAATGCCAAGCTAAAAGATAATTTGTCTCTAAAACACAGATGCATCAGCCGGGAATGGAACCCGGGCCGCCCGCGTGGCAGGCGAGCATTCTACCACTGAACCACCGATGCGCTGCGACTGCTTCATTCACATGCTTTTTCAGTAGCTTTCTGCAAAGCAACAAAGCAAAAAAGGATTTTTTGTCCAAATGCCAATCTAAGAGATAATTTGTCTCTAAAACACAGTTGCATCTGCCGGGAATTGAACCCGGGCCGCCCGCGTGGCAGACGAGCATTCTACCACTGAACCACCGATGCGCTGCCACTACTTCTTTCACATGCCTTTTCAGTAGCTTTCTGCAAAACAACGAAGCAAAAAAGGATTTTTGGCCCAACAGCCAAGCTGAGAGGAAATTTGTCTCCAAAACACAGCTGCATCGGCCGGGAATCGAACCCGGGCCGCCCGCGCGGCAGGCGAGCATTCTACCACTAAACCACCGATGGGCTGCGACTGCCTTATTGACATGCCTTTTCTGTAGCTTTCTGCGAAGCAACGAAGGATTTTTTGCCCAACAGCCAAGCTGAGACAATTTGTCTCCAAAACGAAGTTGCATCAGCCGGAAATCGAACCCGGGCCGCGCGCGTGGCAGGTGAGCATTCTACCACTGAACCACCGATGGGCTGCGACAGCTTCATTGACATGCCTTTTCAGTAGCTTTCTGCGAAGCAACGAAGCAAAAAAGGATTTTTGGCCCAACAGCCAAGCTGAGAGGCAATTTGTCTCCAAAACACAGTTGCATCGGCCGGGAATCGAACCCGAGCCGCCCGCGTGGCAGGCGAGCATTCTACCACTGAACCACCGATGCGCTGCGACTGCCTCATTCACATGCTTTTTCAGTAGCTTTCTGCGAAGAAACGAAGCAAAAAAGGATTTTTTGTCTAAATGCCAAGCTAAGAGACAATTTGTCTCCAAAACACAGTTGCATCGGCCGGGAAGCGAACCCGAGCCTCCCGCGTGGCAGGAGAGCATTCTACCACTGAACCACCGATGCGCTGCGACTGCTTCATTCACTTGCTTTTTCAGTAGCTTTCTGCGAAGCAACGAAGCAAAATGGATTTTTTGTCCAAATGCCAAGCTAAGAGATAATTTGTCTCTAAAACACAATTGCATGGGCCGAGAATTCTACCCTCTTCGCTTGCGTGATAGGTGACCTTTTAATCGCTGAATATGCAATGCGGCTCCATGTGCTTCTTGTTGTGTCTTTACCGTGTTTTTTTTCTGTCGCTCTTTTACTTTCTAAGTTTTGAATAAATACTAAATGTTGCTTATCTTTTGTGTAATATATGCTCTTCTTTCTATTGAGACGTGATTGTTTGCAGGAACGTGGTTTTACCAACCCTGGTTTCGAGGTAGACGTAAGTCCCGAAATGTCATCAGAGAAAACACTGGAGGTACGGAGTGTAATTTTTTCTCATATTTATTCTTAACTTTAAGTTCGGAAGCAAGTTAAATCTATAGTATAATTTAATTGATAATTGAAAAAAATTATTACGAATCCTCGTGTTGTTAATAATAATATTAAATATGCCTTGCACATGTGTATACGCTTCCGTATTGACTCTACATTTAATGCTTTAGTATCATAGTTTATAAATAGCTTGCACAATGGATGTATGTATGTAAGTTTTTTGGAAGAATAGCACTTTGCGAGGTAAGGTCTACCAGAATCCGCACAATGTAAATAATAATAATAATAATAATATTAATAATAATTTGTTATATTTTTTATATTATTATATGTTGTTTTTAGTTTTGCACATGTGTTTATAATAATATACAGAATAATATATGTAGTATAGAATCTTTTTGAAAAGCTGCGGGAAATTGGTTTTCACAATTTTACAGAAACACGCAATTTTTAATTTGAAGTTTTTTCTTAATGTTTTTTCTATGCGTCTGTGAATAACTCTAGCTCTTACTCGTAGTATGTTTTTAGAAATGAATATTCCCCAGGCCCTGATCGTTGCGATTTGGAAAAAAGGTATATGAATTATGATATATTATTATTGTTCTGGTTTATGAAGCGCTAGGGGCTTTAAAAAGTATTTATTGAAAACCATTCCATATTTTTTCTATAAATTTTAGGAAAATACAGATATAAAGATGTCAGAGTTCCAGTTTTCTCTGTTTATAATGAATTTTCGAAAATTACCGAAGTTCACTTTTTTTTCTTCAAATTATTTTTTTTAAGTTATACATTTTGGCTTCAAATGAAGATTATTTCTTAAATTAATATAAGTTACATATTTGGAGAAATTTGTGTAGTTTTCGGGTAATTTAGAATGGAATATGGGTAATATGTTAATTCATAATAAGAACCAGATTTTCTCCAAATCGGTCCAAATATTTTCTTTAACCTTTTCTAGGGATCGTGCTTGATGCAGTGTTAGGTGTAATAAACGACATTTTATGGTTTTGTTTAATTTTTTAAATGGTATACAAAAGTATTTTCTATTACTCTTCAACATCGTTAATGACATTTACGACGGTTTTTATTCGTTTTTGCAATTGATAGTGAATTAGTTAGAAATAATCTTAAAATTCTCCATTAAAAACATGCTCGAACAATTCTAAAAAAGGGTCCAATTTTATTGTTTACATTTTGTAGCGTGGGATATAAATCTTTTACAACGAAGTCTCTTGAATTCTCATTTTTTTATAAAGTGCACTAAAAATTACGCATTTTCAGATGCGGTCAAATGACATTTTCTCAAAATGGCTCCAAATTTTTCAATAAAAAATTTCATATAGGGTCGGCTTTTACTTCTCTATAATATACTTGAAGTCTTAAATAGATTCTACTATTGGGGATCCGGGGAAAGAAATTCCAATAGAAGGCAAGCAAGAGAGAGTGCGGCAAAACCGGAAAGCTATCTCAGAGCAAGAGATTTGCGAACTAACTCGCGTAAGTTATTCCATGCCATTCTGTAGCACTAATATTTTATATTTTCTAGTTACGTTTACACTGTTTAAACGCCTTTCAACGCCTCTCTTAGCTCTCTAGAAAATGTGTCACGACAATTTATGTTCCCCTTTTTGAAAATCGAAAAATTTCACTTCCTTTACCACAGAAGAAACATCAAGTTTTAATGAAATATTTGAATATCTCGCATGAGCCTAATATATTGTAGTTAAGGTTCGTACTAAATAGTGTGATTCAAATTCGATCTTTTATGGTCTAGATCAATCAAACGTGCATGATTGTAGGACTAATATTCTCTGTATGGTTCTTTGTTAAATTTTTTTGTATATCTTGACTAGCAATAATGATCATTTTGGATCTTCATACTAATATTATTAAGTATATTTTCCATAACATAATCCATTAAATTATCATGACACATCCGGAAAGTTTTATCTTGAAATCAAAAAGAAAATTGAGTTTGATATAAGCTTGAGAAAGATGAGGGCGAAAAAAAACAAAAAATATTAACAAAAATCATTTCCTACTTTGGAAGTAAATTCAGAAATAAAAATCTCATTAGAAATACAGTTTTTAGGAATTTTTAATCCTTGCCCAAAAACTAGAAGTGATGCCATAGCCTGTCCCCTTGCAGGCAACATCTTCATATCTTAATTTTGATCCTGAAACCTTTTGGGATCATACTTAATATAAATGAATTGATGAATGTGTAATGAATGATGCAAGTGACATAATTTAACACTCTGGTCGTAACCTCTTCGCAAATTTTTCCACCACAGTTCGTGAATTTATATTTGATGGATCATATGTTCTAAATCAACGAGCGTATAAGCAAGATTCATGTTTTACTTGAACAATCTTGTACTTTTAAATGAAGTTCCAAATTTTATGAATACATTTATACTTTAAAATATATTTAGTATAAATTACAGAAGATATTGAATTTAAAAAGTAATTATATGCTTATTTGAATTAAATTCTTGGAAATTCGGTTAAGATTAGAACATTATGCAAAACATGACATTAGAGCCTATTGCAACATTGGAAAACACTACGTTTTCTTCACTGCAGAGGGCAAGTACATCAGTGTATACCAAAGATAATTATTACCAATTAAATGTATGAAAAAATGTGTGTATTTAGGTACTTTATTAATATAGAAACCTCCATGAATGGTCTGCTGTAAGGAAAATGGCGTGATATAAGCAAATATGCAATATGAATCGCATGAAGATTTGCCGGAAGTCGTGAATTAAAGCGCCCGTAGATTCCATGGGAAGTGACCTGAATGTGTTAAATGATAAGGAAGCGTTAGAGGAATGAGACGCAAAAAAAAACAAAAAAACGACGGAACTAGAAAACCTGCTCCAAACTAACTCTCTATCAACCGCTTATCGACATGAATGGACCCGATGGTAATGGAATAAGAAGTAGGGGACACGGGAGAACTCAAAGGGGACTGTCTCTGAAGCGTCTTTATCAACCACCAATTCCACATGGTTTGACCAAATGGTCATAGCGTTGTGGTGGAATGAGAGGCAGGGAGACCCCGAGGACACCTGCAGGGAGTTAGCTTTGTCAATCACAAATTTCAAATGGGTTGATCGTGATATGTACCTCGATAGACATTGCGCGAGGAAACTCAGCATTTGGCAGACGTTAAAGAGGAAGTGGAGGACAACAATGAATGCAGTCTCAAAAACATCGACCTCCTAGCTTCTCGACAGGCATCTTTGTTATAGAAAATTAACATTTACATTTGGTATACGAATGCACAGAAGATAATGCAACAAATTACTGCCAATTATATCCAAAAATATTACAATCCCTAGCTCACATTAAGTTACCCAATGTTTTCTGAACAGTTATAGTATACAAGTTTTAATGAAATATTTGAATATCTCGCATGAGCCTAATATATTGTAGTTAAGGTTCGTACTAAATAGTGTGATTCAAATTCGATCTTTTATGGTCTAAAACAATCAAACGTGCATGATTGTAGGACTAATATTCTCTGTATGGTTCTTTGTTAAATTTTTTTGTATATCTTGACTAGCAATAATGATCAGTTTGGATCTTCATACTAATATTATTAAGTATATTTTCCATAACATAATCCATAAAATTATCATGACACATCCGGAAAGTTTTATCTTGAAATCAAAAAGAAAATTGAGTTTGATATAAGCTTGAGAAAGATGAGGGTGAAAAAAAACAAAAAATATTAACAAAAATCATTTCCTAATTTGGAAGTAAATTCAGAAATAAAAATCTCATTAGAAATACAGTTTTTAGGAATTTTTAATCCTTGCCCAAAAACTAGAAGTGATGCCATAGCCTGTCCCCTTGCAGGCAACATCTTCATATCTTAATTTTGATCCTGAAACCTTTGGACAAATTGCTGCCAATTATATCCAAAAAGATTACAATCCCTAGCTCACATTAAGCTACCCAATGTTTTCTGAACAGTTATAGTATACGTAGATTGCTCTATTGCGCATCCTCCCGCGGTGTCTCCCTTCTCGTGTATCTCATTCGCGCTTTAAGGTGGTGTTTTCGCGCCAATCGCTAGTCAAACACTCACCCATTTACTACATCCACATACATTACATTTTGTGGATTTATAAAAAGAAAAATTTTCATAATGTGCACGCCCCCCGCAAACGTTTTAATAAAACGGCTGCTTGCAACCGTGAACGGCTGGAGCGTTGCCCCGCTGCTGGGAGATACCTGGATGGGTAAAACCTCGCAGACCATAAAGGAACATTCATAGAGAAACACCCCATAATGACCATAGAGGTTGACGCGACGGAAACACAAAATAATCAGTCAATCAATTGAAATACATATTTGCAGGAAGTGGAGACTCCAGTGGAAGCCGTGCCATATGCATCTGCAAGTCCGTCCGCGGCCAGCGCCACCTGTTCAAACCCCGAACCATCAGTTGAGAACACGCTCCCAGGTGCCGTTCCGGAGGTGAGCACTCAACCAGTACGGAAAAATAAATCTTAACAATCTTCAAATAACCCAGAACCAGAACTATCGCAAATGCTCCTTGGTTTGTCACAAACTCAAAGCTCCCACAAAGAATTCCAAATGGACTCCATACAACACCATATAACGTATCTCTCCACCCAGTTCTATCATTCCATACCTCAAATTCCTCGCCTAACCAACTTCAGACTCCGAAAAACTCCTTCTCACAGAACCAGAATGAAAAAAAGATATCCATACCATGCATTCCTAGTCAAATTTTCAAAATAAATTTGTTTTTTGGGGTTTCTTACCCCAATTAATATGTAGTTTATTTTTCGTAAATTAGAATGTACGCCTTCACAACATATGTATAGTGCATTAAAAGTACTGATCTGTGTAAAAAATAAAAAAAATAAAAAAAATCACGAGTTGCAAACATGGATCAGGACAACTGTGTTGCCATTGCAGTGTCTATGGCAGGAAGATCCTACGATACAAGGCTCCAATCATTAGCGACGAGAGTGAATTTTCGATACTAGCTAAAGTGCTAAGTCGAATGAAGCAGCTGTTTGGAGGAAAATTCTAGCGGCAATTAGCACTGATCAGTAGTTTTTGATGCACACTCTCTCCTTAATACCACGCGAATGTCGGACCTAACGAACGGACCGCACAACACGTGCTACCCCTATGTTGGCCCCGTGTTAGCTTCATCGTTTTTGTCCCATCTTTCCCCTTAAACACACATCTTTGAAAACCTACACTCGCATCACACTATCCGTTAAGAGTGAAATTAAATATTTTGAATCGAATTCATTTTCGATACGTAATCTGTTCACTCAAGAGAAAAATAATAGCATTAACAGTAGTTCAGGGCATTAACAGATGTCATTTCAGTGCTTTTCACCGAGTGGTCCCCGTAGGTTTGTGTCCCGACGGTGGCAGGTTTTTTGACAGTAGCTTGTCAACTAGGTTGAATTGAGTCGCTGTCTGCAGGAGAATTCTAGCGACCGGCTGCTGTGATTGGTAGAATGCCGGGGCAGCGTCCTAACAAACGGGCCACAATCAACCCTTTATCTTTTTTCATCTTCCTAGTTCTGTCTTCACTACTACGTGCTCTGGGCTCTATGCCATGCTCGACACATCGCGGGGGAACAATCTCGGGAGGAGCGGTGCTCAGCTGGTAGGAGACGCATCGTTGGGGAAAATCCCGCCAACCGAAGGTAGGCTAGATCTCGACATCCAGGGGGAAACATCACCGCAACCTCCCGAGGAGAAAAATGCTTTACACTTGCGAGTTTCGTGAGCTTAGCTGTTGTTGCGCCTGCAATCACTAACAATCATTCAATCAGTATTAATATAGCACCACAAATTTGCAGTTTCACTAACTTGTTAAAATGCTTCACTTTATCGCTATACTCAATAAATAATAGAATGACGGAATAAATCATATGCGAACACGAAAACAAAAACAGAATCAGCAACTCAAACCTATTCCTACGCTAAGCTAAATACTAAACAAAAAGAAAACAAACTCCCAAAAGAAATAAATATATAGTAAGGAATTTAAATTTATTTTTTATAGAATATGAAAAATGAATTTCGTTGAAAAAAATTGCAATAAAAACAGACCGATTAATAAAACATAATATGTTAAGGGGGAGTTCAAACACACGCTACATTTAGAAAACCAGAGCTTAAATCTGGCAACCTGACGGATACCATTGCTCTAATAAACGATGCTTACGTCGCAAAACAGAGTTTGTTAAAAGAAAGGGATCTGACAGATGTGGGGTTCCAACGCACGTACCCTATGGAAAACAAGAGCTTAAATCTGGTGCCCTAGACAGCTCGGCCAATCAGACCCACCCGCTGAGCATTACACACTCAGGACATTTCCCTTCAACAGCATGCACATACAAAATTAATATCAGGTGTGGGGTTCTAACCCAAGCTCCCCTTCGGGAACCCGAGCATAAATCTGGCGCCTTAGACCGCTCGGCCAACCAGACCCTAACGATAAGCCTTACACACTCAGGACATTTCCCTTCAACAGCATGCACATACAAAATTAACGTCAGTTGTTGGGTTCGAACCCACGCTCCCCTTCGGGGACCTCAGCTTAAATCTGGCGCCTTAGACCGCTCGACCAAACTGCCCTGACGCTGATCATTACACACTCAGGACATTTCCCTTCAACAGCGTGCACATACAAAATGAATGTCAGGGGTGGGGTTCGAACCCACGCACCCTTTCGGGAACCAGAGCTTAAATCTGGCGCCTTAGACCGCTCGGCCATCCTGATCCAGACTTTGAAAACTACACACTCAGGACATTTCCCTTCAACAACGTGCACATACAAAATGAATGTCAGGTGTGGGGTTCGAACCCACGCTCCCTTTCGGGAACCAGAGATTAAATCTGGCGCCTTAGACCGCTCGGCCAACCTGACCCTGACGCTGATCATTACACACTCAGGACATTTCCCT